TAAGATTTTATTAAAAAAATAAAGTTTAAAAAAATAAACGCAGGCAAATTTGCCTGTGTTACAATTTAAGGGATAAATACAAAATTGGTATAACATGTAAATCAAAACAATCTAATCTTTATAAAAAATAAAACTTTTAATTAGTTTAGTTTAAAGCATGAGTTAAAGTTAAACAAGATATAAATTATACTAAAATTTTACAAGAAATTTTTTTATTAAAATACAAAAGATAATTTTTTAAGTAAATTTTGAAATATAATTAATTTTTTAAAAATTTATTGTTTTGTTACACAAAGAGGTGATCAGCATGTTACACCTGATCTTAAATTTTAATTGGTTACAATATCCTAGCACCATAGTGCTATATAGCACTATAAATTAAATCTCTTAAAATTATACTGTACAAAATTTGAACGATCTTAGGATCCTGTGATTTAATTTTGACAATTTTGAACTCATTAGAATCGTCTCATTGAGACGAACATTTTGATAGTCGAATCATCAAAGAAGGACCCATAAATCAAAAGTTATTGGCTAATTTCACAAATCAGCCCATATATAGTTTCTGAGTAATCTATATGAGACTCCATCTAAATACTAAAAAACTGTGGCAGATTAAAATGAAATCCGATTAAAATGAAATGAGGGATAGTATAAAATAGACAAGCCACCGAAAAATACAAATTTTTGGGGTGCATTTTTTTGGCATTTTTTTAGGGGTAGGATTAGGGTTTAGAAGCAGGTTTTATAATAAACAAGTATAAGTGGGTTTTAGAGGGTCAAATAGAAACTCCTCATTTTATTTTAATCCGATTTCATTATGATCTGCGACAAAAACTAATACAAAAACCGATAAACTTTTATTAGACTGTTATAGAGAAATAACTTTTCTATAACTTATTGAACGAATACTGGTTAAAAATATCAATTTTCTGCATGTCCAAAGTCAACTGATAATTACTGCGGGACCGACGTACGTATGTACGTACGTACGTACGTACGTACGCACGCACACAGAATTTCTTAAAATTTGTTACGTATTGGGATGACGCAAGAGGTGACGTAAGTAATACAAGAACTAGTATATAAGGTCAAATACTACCACGTCCTTGCATTAGAGTATTCCTAGATCATGGTAAGGTTTAGTGAAGAACTTAATGGCTTCGGCTTAATATCATTACGCGTTTAATTTTATTATTGTATTGAATAAGTACATATTTCTTATTTTTAGTTAGTCCGCATTCGTTCAAAGCAAGGTACTGTTCGCATCGAAGTTGATCCAACTGACGATATTTCGGTGCTTGGCACAAAGGTAAAAGCTATTTAGCATATCTTTTAGTCATTATCTATTTCCATATCTAACCTTAAATATACCTTCATTACTATTACGATCTTGCAGATTGCGAATAATTTAAATATTGCTGACCATTCTTCGATTACTATATCTGATAAGCCTACAACTTCCACTCCAATAAGAGATCTGGTGGGAAAAAGTATCAGTGAACTTGGAATTAGGTGGCTATTTGTAATATTATTATACGATAAAATTTATCTTTGCTAAAATTGTTTTCAATCTTGTTTTTCTTTTTAAAGACACGGTGACCTTCTTTTCATTACATATCAAGAAAATGTTATCGCCGAATCTTCACAAGCTAATAATGTAGAAACTAAGGCATCAATGTCATTCGATATAAAGCAAGATCCTATTGATGATTTTCTAGAAAAACAAGATGGATTGATAAAACGTGGAAGAGATCCTAAATTGTACAATACTTAAAAGTTATTATTTAGCGCGTCAAGTGAATATATAATATGTTAATATAGCATTACTATTATCGTATTTTCTAGTTGCAAACATGCGGCGAACGGAATGTGTGATTATTGCATGCCTTTGGAGGTAACGTGGTCAAGAAGTCATTATTTATGATTTGTATCAATTTTTGAATATATAACCTAATCATAATGATCAAAATTTCTATCAATTCTTAGCCATATGATATAAATTATTTAACTGAAAATAAAATTAAGCATATGTCCTTTCATGCTTATTTACGCAAAATTAACAAGCAAAACAAACAGAATTCAAAATTTATTCCTCCGTTAGAAGAACCCGATCTCCGTGTAAAAAAAAACTGTTCGGGCACTCATGCGCCATGGCCTGAAGGCATATGTACAAAATGTCAGCCTGGTGCTATTACTTTACAACTTCAAGTATGCGACTTTACATTTTATTTGATCAATTAAATTAACCTTATACATCGGTCGTCTATATTAATTTATTATTCTATCATCTTAGGAATATCGTATGGTTGATCACGTAGAGTTTTCAGCATCAAGTTTAATTAATAATTTCATTCATTTTTGGCGGTCAACTGGTACTCAACGGTTTGGATATTTATATGGACGATATGAACAATACCCTGACGTTCCATTAGGTGTAAAGGCTGTAGTCGAAGCTATTTATGAACCGCCTCAAGAAGATGAGGTCGATGGGTTGACACTTATTCTTCCATGGAATGAAGAAAAGTTAGTGGATGAAGTTGCCATGAATTGTGGATTACAAAAAGTAATTGAGTGCAACATTTATACAACTTGGTAGTTTTATAATTCTTAAGGTATATTAAACTATTATGTGCATTAATAGGTTGGAATGATTTACACTGATCTCACTGATGACGGCTCAGGTTTAGGCAAGGTAATTTGCAAGAGACACATCGACTCGTATTTTCTTTCATCCCAGGAGTGTTGTTTTTCAGCAGCTATGCAGAACAAGCATCCAACAATTTCAAAATGGTGCGCATCGGGAAAATTTAATAGTAGATTTGTCACTTGTGTTGTGACAGGCAACACTAACGGTGACATTGACGTCTCCGCGTATCAAGCGTCAAATATTTGTACGTCTATGGTAGCTGAAGATATTATTGAGGCTAGTGTTGATCCAAGTATTGTTCGAGTTAAAGAGAGTACATCTGAGAAATACGTTCCAGAAGTGTTTTATAAATATAAGAATAACTACGGCGTTAATGTTCAAAAAAGTGCAAAACCTTGCTTTCCAGTAGAATATTTGTTAGTTAATGTATGATCCGAATAGTTACTTTTATTGCTTTAAAAGATGGTTCATATTAATATAAAAATTTTCCTGTTTATATTTTAGGTGACACATGGCTTCCCGAATAATCCGGTACCACTTTTTACTTCTCCAAAAAACTTTCCGATTGAAAATCGTCCTGGAATCGAGTCGCAAGATCTAAAAAGCTTATATCGACATCTTGGGCTTGAATCCAGTGGTAATGTGCATGTCGACTGTGTGTCAGATTTCCATTTGTTAACTTTCGTGAAGGGAACTGGCATATTGGATCAGGTATTTTCATTTTGTTATTATTTCATCGCCATTTATTTATTTCATAATTAACTTTTTATTTATTTATTTATTTCAGAATGACTTTGCAGCACTCGCAAGACTTGCGGTGTCGCATGAAGAAAAAGATGCCAATCAATTAGCACAAAGTACAGGTTGGCAAACGCTGGTGACTATTATGAATCTAAGTTAAATTGCAAGAATAATCACATAATCTTAGCACAAATGAAAAATAAAGGTTAATGCACAGCATTATTTTTAAGTTAAGCTATATTTATATCTGCAATCTGATTGGTCGCATGTAGGTAAATCTTTTAAACTTGACCGAGCAATTTGGGTCCTTGTCTTGAAAATGACATGAGACATAGTAAAACTCCATTTGTTGGTTTTTACTGCGTGCTGGCAGTGCCCTATGTTTCAGTGATTCCCAAAGTCAAAATTAGTGTTCTGCAAGTACCGGGAACATCACTACTGAAACATAATACCCGGCACTTGAAGGACTTTAGGACTTAACAGACCGGGAACATCCTTTATGAGTTGGGCTTTAGGTAGATAAAGCATTTATGTAATAATTCGGAAGGAGAGTAATTTTTAAAAAATGTCCAATATCATTACATGTTTTAACCGTATGAGACTACTAACTATTTTAATTATTTTAGCACTTGTTCACCTGTTATAATGCAAAAAATACTGTTCTTGATGGATCGGTGGTACTGATCACGATGAGGTAAGAAAAAATTATTTCGTACTGTTCCTAATTAGGATCTAAAGAACCCCAAAGCAGATTTATCTTTATATATTTAGTTATAGTATTGGGGTGTTCTTTTTTAGAACTCAACAGGAACATCGCGTAAATAGCTTTTTTTTCATACACCATCAGAAATAGTACTGGCGATTCATCAGGAACGCGTTATCAATGTTATAAAATCTGAGCTTTTTAAAAAACATTAGTCCTGATAAATTTCTAATAAATTCATGACAAAAACATAGTATATGGCATATGTCACTTTAATGATATGATATAATATCTTTTGTTACTTTTTTTTTTTAAATGTATTTTAATAAGTGTTGAGTAGTCTTTATTGGAAACTACAATGTACATTCTCGCCAGCCTAAATGTTCGAATCATGAAAATACTATATATACCTACCTACCTTTATTTTACATAATAAATATTCAAATAATTTAATCGTTGAAAAGCAAAATACAAATAAAATTCTAATTTAATGTCTTCGTCTAATACTGCAATTTACTGCTTCTTAAACTAGAGGTGCGGATTCAGTAGTCTTTTTAAATTTTTGAGAGTTAGTTACACCTAAAAGCGATGTGCAAACCTTATATTTTGATCGAACTTTGCTCAATAAATCTAAAAATTCTACGTTTTGTTGGTTTTCAATAGGGAATGTTGAAATTAATTCTCGTAGAGAAGTAAGTTGTTTAATTAAGCTATTTTATTAAAACTAGATTAGTTATGATCAATTAAACCAATTTTTTTTAAATACTAATTTGAAGCAAATTTTAATTCACCGTTCATTTATTGGTTTTTTAATATTATGTATTTGTAAACCTTTCTCTAAAACCTTCAACCACATTTCAGCTACACCATCATAAAAGCCAATTTCACTCAATAATTCATAACCTTTTTCGCAACCAAGTAATCGACCTTCTAAAGTTCCTGCTTTAATGCCATTTTTTATCCCGTCTTCTCTTCCTATTTCTACAAACCTATTTTTGATTTATAGGATATTTTGGATACGACCAGACCTATGTTGAAGAGAAAGATCTACTTACATCGTCTCAAGATTTACGAGATCGTCAAGGTCCAGCGTTGTTTTAAGAGTTTCCATTCTTAGCTTAAAAAAAAAGGTCAACAAAAAGATAAATTAGAGTCCTAGTGTTAGAATTGATCAAAAATTTGGAATTACATAAAGTCGGCCAGAATTACAACCGGGGTAAAATCGCCACCCAAAAAAGTTTCGAAAATCACGTGATATAGATCATTTATTGTAATTGGATGTGTAACTTAACGAAAAAACAATTTTAAAACAAAATGAATTCAATCAAATAAAGCGAATAAATGCTACGTAGTAAATTAATTTTCATGCATAAAAAATAACACAAAAATCTCCAATATATCAACATTGTTACTATCGGCCAGTATCTTTGCACTTTACACACCGAAGTTAATTTATTTCTACCTTCGTCGTTTGTCTTTATTTCTACTAATCATAAGTTTTAATAAAACCGTAAATAAGTTCTTTATTAGCCAAAATAGTATGATTGGTTTTGCTGCCAAGAATTGCATCATTTATTGTCAAATTGACATCAAATAAGATATTGGGATTGAATTGGATATGGAAAGCACGATGTTTCTTTTAAATTTTGTGATGAATTTATCGTCAAAAAGTACAACAAATTAATAACATGACAGAATTTTTAGTATCAAGTCTGAACGTAATAGAAATAAGTTAATGACAAGTTTTAAATTAATAATTTAATGAATACAAACAAAAAAAATTTGCCACAAAGAGATATATTTACCCAATTAAAATAATTTATTGAGTTTAATTCATATTTAAATCTTTCATACTTTTATTGAAAGCCTTTTTACTAACAAAAACCTATAATGAACATTCGTTTTGCTGTAATTAGAGATAAAATATTTACCATCATAATTAATTGTATCTATAAAGTACTTTAGTATATAAAATTACGATAGAAACCATTTACATAAAAATACGAAGTCATAAAGGTTGAATTACAACAATTTATTTAACTAAAATAAAATATAATCTAGTTATTATAACCAGAAAGTATTATTATTACGATTTTTCCAAGTATTTGGAATATGCCTTTTCTTTTCAAATTGTTTGCAATTCTCTACTAATTTTCATATCAGATCAAAGTTTTTTTCTATACTATTAAACCATTTATTTGGATTAGCCACATTCATTTCAAGAATAGTTTTGGTTTCATCCAACAATTTAAAATTTTCATTTTTCCAGTTTTGAAACAAGATTAAATCTTGGTTAACATCAACATTATCCATTAAGTGTTTATCTGAATCATCAATGGCATTTATCAAGTATTCATCTGAATTAATTATAATGGATTCTTGTTCATAAACTTGATCATTAAATTGTAATTCACAAGTATTGGAATTGGTATAGTGATAGGAATTTAAATTTTTAATTGAAGTATAAATATCTTCAGACAAGTTGACGAAGGTATTTTCTTCTTTAACTTCTAATAGAGGATAATAATCTTGACGTATTACCTTAAAATTAGCAAAGATATGATAGGATTTAATTGTAGATATTGATTTAAAGCATATAATTATTTTTTACAGTATGTACCTTTTTAAAAAATCTTGGTTCAATAGGCCCATAAATTTGTACCAGGTGTTTGCATATATGAAAGCGACTTAAAAGAAAACTATAACATGAACAAATCCAGCATACAGAATCAGTAATGTGAGTAGAATTAGGATTGACTATTTTAGTAGTTAGTTTTTTTATTCAAGTCGAAAGTCTTCTCTTCACTTTGTTATATATTAATTATTGCATAGTAACTGTAGTCAATCAACTTACTATGGTATAACCTTCATAACAATAATATAAATTATTAAATCAAGTCATGCATGATTATAACTTGATAAAAAATCATGTTTTAATACATGCTAATAGCTTTTAATAGCCATTGTGCTTCATAAAATATTAAGTCTTGAGTTTGATGCATTGCCTATAATTTTCACATTTTAGAGGGGTACTACTCTGTCTATAAATAAATCCAAACATAGTTTAGATTATTTTTGTAACAATAATCATATTGTTGTTTAATACTTTCATTCCAAATTTGATCTATATTTAAAAAATTTGATGAACCAGAAAGTTCTATTGGTATCATTGGATGCTATGAGAAGTGAATGCAAATCATTTAAAGAATTGTTTCACAAAAGTTTTTTAGCAAAAAACTTTTTTTTATTATTATTATTGTTATTATATCGATGTTCATGATTTGTAAGATCCATAAATATTTGATTTTGATTAATTGGTCGCCATGCAGGATTAATTGTTAGATAAAGCAAATGTGCATCATCTGCATTATAATAATTATACATGATGCCGGTACTTGAAAGTTTCTTTTTGATCGCACATAATACATGCCAGTAATACAATTGTATTCTTGCTGCAAACCAAATTTTATTAGCTGCCATAATTTGTCCATGATCCTTATCTGTCAAAATATTCTCAACATTTTGAATTCCATTTTCTTCTAAGCTTTTAAACCACATTGTAATTGCATATATTTTACTATACAGATACTTTGGCTTAAGAAAAAAATAGGATAACAGGAATCCAGCACCATCCAAAACTCCAAAAACTGCAAATAATTCAAACTTTAAATGATTTGTACCATAAGCTGAATCAATAATAATAGTTTTAGTAATTTTATTTGGCAATATAAATAGTAAAGGAGTTAAAAAAGCTAACAAGTGTTGATCTTGATAAAGAAGTTTAAAACCTAGATTATTTTCTAAATATCGTCAAGCTGATTTTAATTGATTATCTGCTAATTTATATTCCTTTGTAGCATTTTTTTTAGACCAATAATAAACTTGTTTCAGTGTAATATATAAAAAAACCTTCAATTTCATTATTCTTAATATTATTGTAAAGCTGTGAAACTGTTAAAAGATTATTATTAATGATGTAGTCACAAATTTGTGAAGAAACTTTCATTGTTTTAGGTGGAGAATGAAGATAATGAAAAATATGAACTGTTATTATATTGTAAATTTGTGCTATATTAATCTGAATCATTCTATTACAAGTATATTGAACAATTCTTGGTGTTGTATCATGTCAACTTGAAATATCAGCAACTCTCACTTTTTTATTTTTTTATTTTTTTATTTTTTTATTTTTTTATTTTTTTATTTTTTTATTTTTTTATTTTTTTATTTTTT